TTCTTGGTCAATTATTAACTTACCGAAACTATTTAATACTTGTAGAACTGCAATTTTTGGTAATAGAAGGTGATTATATTTTTTACATACCTATTTTTGGTCATAAATATAAGAGAATAAAAGTAAAGTTCAAATTAAAATATTTACGACTTCTTCATACGGTAACTTATTTGAACTCCTTTTGAAACGAAGATGAAAATATTATCAAATTTTCTTTATAATTTAAATAGAAGCAAATGTGACAAATTATCAACTAGGACATTTTTTTGTTACTTACTAGACTAGATTTCGTTTTGGTGTAAATCAATTAAACGTTTTGAGAACTGAAAGTTCAATTGCTTTATATATATTGATGTTGTAAAGTTTTCAAACTGAGGTTGCCACTTATTATTATCATATTTTTTTATTCAATAGTTGGTGTGTGCAGGGAAAAATGCCCATTGAAAATGTTAGTTATTATTAAAAGGGCCCATTGTTTGGCTCATTTGTACAGGGTTTCTCATTAAGTAAATTATAAACCGTGGTGTCGTTTCCTTCTTTGTTTTCTTTTCTTCAAGTAGTTGAACCTTCGCAAAGAAAACAGGTGTAAGAACAATGACCATCATTATCAAGTATAAGCGGGAGCACGATGTCTACCTGGAACACAGTAAATTACCGCTTAACATGTTCCCATTTGTGTTCACAATGCGATCCCATAATCTCTTTCATCGTTTCCCGGAGCCTTAGGAATGGACACTCGAAGGGGCGGGGGATGAGGGTACGCAACTGAAGCCTACGGCATGTATAGCGGGCTAGAGTGTTGTGTAAATAAACTTTTGTTTCTCGAGAATATTAACGTTTACCTACTGAGAAGCAACTCGTCCGTTTCACCGGACCGGTTGCACCATCACCACCTCCGTTTCGCCCGGACTGCTACTACACAAACGGATGCTACTGCAAAAGAGCCTGCTGCTTTCCTTTGACAGAGACTGTCTAAAGACCCTTTGGCGTGCAACGTTCACACCACGCTGGGCGCTATACATAGTATTCCAACTCTATCAATTAGTGTAACTAGCCAAAGCATCGCGTGCACAAGGATAGGTTCTTGGGATTAGAGTGAAGTGTATCCCAAAATTTATGCCAATGTTAAAAAAAATACAATAGATAAACAAGAGAAACTTAATGCCAACAAAATAAAGGAAAACGAAAAATAACACTAGCAAACCCACTGAGTTTAACAACGTTTTAAGCGATGGGGGTGAATTATTTGGCTTAATTTGTGCTGAAAATCTGGCAAAAATGTAGTGGATGGTCTCATGAAAAATATGTAGGCGTCGATGTGCACCTACTTACATGTACCAATTTTGTTTGCAGGATGATAATTAGCAACTATCTAGAAAAATAGAACAACCAATCCCTCTCTAGTTTAGTTCTTTATCTTGGACCTATTCATTATTAATTAATTATTTTACTTTAGTATTTATTTTCGTAAGTAAACCATATGTAAACACTGTGAGTGTACTTTAAAGTTTAAATAAATGACTGTAAAAAGTGCTCTTGTGAAGATTGTAATAACTAACCCTGGCGTCCCTTACTATTATTAGCAATGAGTGCGACAAGACTCCTCGAAAAGCAAAATTTGTTCGTCCATGAAAAAGTAGATCGATAAGAAACATAAAACTAATCAAGGACGACCGTGAAAACCTAAGAACTTCAGAATATGACGACTTATTTATCAAATCTAGGCATATTGTCTACTGTTATTTGAAGTATTTTAATTAAAAACGGGTACTAGTCATTTGGTTTATTTTGGACACAATTTTCTAGTAGAAAAAGTAAATATTTACTGGTTTTCGCCTGTGCGATTTTAAAACGTCCTTTTATAATTTCTTTTTCCAATTAATGTTTCAAAAGAGTTTCTCTTTCTCCTTTTGTTTCAACCGTTCCTTTTGTGTATATACGAATTGAAGAGAAAATTTCCACAGTTTGTTATTCTTTTTAACGACACCCGTTTAAGGAATCGCCACAACGATGCGAAGGTTCCGCTACCGAAATCCGGAATACCAACGCGTTTTCACCAACAGTCGCTGTAATGCAGCGTTCTTTTTCAAAGAAACGCCACTAATCGAAAAGCGTATTAAATTAACGCATATCAGTGCCCTATCAATAAACACTGAATACAATTTTCGTCACGAATAAATCGGGTGTGCGGAACTAAAGTTTCGCCGCTTGCAAATGTGTTCCCCAACGCCAACGTTTCGCGTCGGTGTGGCGGATTTTTTATAGTGTAAAACGAATCTCTGAAATTAAATCGGAGCAAATGGATTGCGTAAATTCGGACGAGATTTAAAGCTCTTAATTAGTTATTCACGGAGTTGGTGAGTTAAAAAGTGCACCAAGACGTTTTACTAATTCTAAACCATCAAGTGTTAATTTTCGAAATTGAAGTCATTTTTCCTTTACATTTCCAGTTGAATCTCTTGAAACAAAATGCTTAGATGAGTTTTAAAACAATGCGAATCGTCCGTTCGAGAACGCCGACTAAGATACAGTAAACAAAAGTAAAAAGCAGAAAATTAATCACTGACACGTACAAAATTTAATTTAAATTTCTTTGTTCTACGTATTCTTCTTTCAACGCAATCTTTATTACAAATTTAGATAGGTAGAACAAAATTTTATTATACTGTAATGAAAATATTTAATAAAAATGCAAATAAGTATTGGATAGAACATAAAAAAAATACCAAAAGTTAATGGGTGAACGCATAGGTTTGTTTGATATATAAAAATTCACAATCGTCTGTCAAAATAAAAACAAAATAAAACAAAAATTAGCTACAATTACAAAATGGATGAATTATAAGACATTGAAAACATCTCGTATATTTTAATAGTCTACCTATATACTACTTGGATAATATCAGAATTCAAAATTTTGTCCCACATCCAGCATAATCTGCTCCTGTTCATACATCTACAGTCACTATTGAATAAATAATAACAATGGAGTCGTTAATCAATTAAAGTATCAAGTGCCCCTTTGTCACACAACAAAAACAATAAAATTAGGTCGTTGTAAGTTTGTTTACACTGTAGTAAGAAGACTATAAATAGGAGAAGAAAGTTGCAAAAAGTGTTATTGGCAGTAAACACGGCATATGAAAATGTAGCCATGATAATCGACCATTGCATAATGTAAAGGATAATTAAATCCTTTCCTAATAAGGAGTAAAAAGCATACTACGCCTTAGGCTGACAGTTTCCTTTCACTATTATTTAAAGTGTGATATCAAAAGCTTTTTGTTACAATAACGTTTACGAATTTTTATAACCACACAGTTTATGTTTTGAATTTAATATGTTTTGAATAATTTTACGTAAATCAACATCATCATAAGGTCGTCAGTTCTAAGATTAGTTGGACACGCACCTCCACTCTTTCCTATCCTGAGCTAATCTTCGCATTTTCTAAAACTCTAACAATCCTATCCTTAAGTATTTGCGAACAATAATCTAGTCCAGGTCTACCTCTACCCTCCTAACTCCAGTTTCTGTCTCTAATATGTCTGACTAGACCTTCATGCTTGAGAAGGTGTCCTACCAACCTATCTCGCCTATTTTTTATTAATTTCCATAGAGTCCTCTGTTCTCCTATTCCTTCTAATATCTCTTCATTTCTAACCTTCTCTATCCACGATATTCTCCTCATTCGCCTGTAACACCACATTTTGAACCTTTCTAACTTTTTTTTTCCGCAGCGCCCCCCGTCTATATTTCGCACTCGTACAGCACCACAATCCAAACATACACCTTCAGCAATCTTTTTCGAATTTCTGAATTAATTGTTCGCGAGCATAGACGTGATTTCTTTTTATTGAAGGCGACTTGACCCTGCGCTATCTTCTGCTTTATATCCCTATTCCTCCTTCCGTCCTAACTTATCTGACTTCTCTACTTTTTCCTCCCTTGCATATTAGTATTTTTGTTTTAGTTTTACTACATAACTGCCTGGTGCTCTTTATACAAACTAAGTACAAATATTTATTTTTAAAAATCATTTTTTTCAGAATAATTCTGTTGGTTCCTTTATGTCTTTTATTTGGTTACTTTTATCGTAGATTTAAGACCGTTAAAAAATGTATTGTAAAGTGTAATTTTTTTGCGCATTTTTCAAAAGAAGGGAATAACAAATAAGCAAAAAATTTCCATGTCAGAACATCTGTTCCCATTTCTTNCCATAGAGTCCTCTGTTCTCCTATTCTTTCTAATATCTCTTCATTTCTAACCTTCTCTATCCACGGTATCCTCATCATTCGCCTGTAACACCACAGAAGTGATTTCTTTTTATTGAAGGCGACTCGACCCTGCGCTATCCTCTGCTTTATATCCCTACTACTCCTTCCGTCCTGACTTATCTGACTTCCTAGATACCTTTTACCTCGTTACCTGGTTCTTTCTCTACTTTTTCCTCCCTTGCATATTAGTATTTTTGTTTTACTTTTGTTTATTTTCATACAGTAGGTACTGTTTTGTCAATACCGCTTACATTTTATTTAAAGCTATCTCCAACTCCTCCTTGCTAGATGCTAAATCTAAGCATACTTATCTTTTGCCCCTATATATTTATTCCTACAGTTGTACTGTCTTTAATGATATTGATGGCGTCTTCAATGTAAAGATTAATAAGTAGCGGTGATAGTGTGCATCCCTGTCTGACTCCCTTCCTAATATTTACTTCTCTACGTTGCAGCCCTGGCTCGTATAACTGCCTGTTGCTCTTTATACAAACTAAGTACAAATATTTATTTTTAAAAATCATTTTTTTCAGAATAATTCTGTTGGTTCCTTTATGTCTTTTATTTGGTTACTTTTATCGTAGATTTAAGACCGTTAAAAAATGTATTGTAAAGTGTAATTTTTTTGCGCATTTTTCAAAAGAAGGGAATAACAAATAAGCAAAAAATTTCCATGTCAGAACATCTGTTCCCATTTCTTAAGATATCCATTTGTTGTTACAGGCGCCGTGAAAGCGTATACAGAAGAGAGTGAAATTGACAGCAGTATTAGCGGTCTCCCCTATTTCGAATTCAACGTTCCTCGGAATGTCACAACCACAGTGGGACAAACAGCTTTCCTCCATTGTAGAGTTCAGCAGTTGGGTGACAAAGCGGTGAGTTGTTTTTAAAATTTTTGATCGCAAAAGAAATTATTAATGCCTATCGCAGCTAGCCAAAAGTCTCACCAAAAGGGCTCCAAGCCCTAAGCTGAAAGTCTTTATTTAATGTGTTTGGCTTTTGAAGCTCCAATTACATTTTGAAATTGAATTAGTAATTAGTTCTAATGAAATTAGATAAAAAAATCCCTAAGGACTTTGAGGCACATTTTCAATCTCAAAGCACTAAAGCCCTATCCAATTATGATGCATACACTTGTAGGTGAAGTATGTCACAAGCGCTAAAAACCGCCACCAGTGATTACAACGAAGCTGCCAGAGGAAATGATAACTACGAGGGATGTTTCCAAAATGTTTCCAAAGTTCTGGGAATTTAGCTATAATTTTTATTATTTCATTAATATTACAATGTAGTTTTTCAACATAAACTTTTTAGGTGTCTCCTCAATCCACCTATTTATGACAAGTTTTACGTCAGTTAAACTTTCAAATCGAACACCCCGTAAAGGTTTTTTCAAATCTAGGAACAGAAGATAATCACTGGGTGCAATATCCGAGGGACAAGTTGGGTGCAGAAGTAATTCCCATTGCAAATCGTTCCAAACATCGTTCGTTTTTCTTGCAGTGTGTGGTCTTGCATTATCCTGTTGGAATAACGGACGCTTATGCAACATTCCAGGCTGTTTTTTGACAAGTGCCTGTTGCAATGGTCCGGATATTAAATTCGAATAATATTCTGCGTTAATTGTGATACCTTTCGCCAGATAATCCATGAAAATAATCCATTCGCAATCCCAAAATACACTAAACATTATCTGGATGGAGAATCGTCTTCTAGTGGTTTTCTATAAGTTTTAAAATAATTGATCCATCAATAAACAGTATTTTTGTATTCTGCAGACTCACCAAATACTCCTTGCAGACGCTGAATAATATCTGATGTTTTCACACCTTCTTTCCACAAAAAGAAAATTATTGCTTTTTGAGATTTTGCTGTGTCTTCCATGGTTTCAAAAACAATGCTATAAATACGCGTATATATCAGTCGAACATCTAAATCACACTGAACAATATTGCACTAGATAGTTGCATAAACATGCCAAGACTTGTCTAGCACCAATAACATTTCCTATAAGTTCTGCGTACTTTAATTATAGCACAATTCTCAGAACTTTGGAAACATCCCTCGTGTATAGGTAGGCAGATTTTACCACTGTACATATTACAATGATTACTGATTAATAATTTCATTACGTGATAGCTTTTATAATGAAACTAACAAGTTATTAGATACTAATACAGTGGAACCTGGATAAGCGAGAAATCAAGAGACCCGAATATTATATTGACATAAATAAATGGCAAAAAAAAATTTTAGATTATCATCAGTGTTAGATAATAATTTCATATTTTAAAGAGCTTGCTGCTTAAGTTATACTTTTTTTGAAATACCAAAATTTTAACGGTACAATTTTTGTTATTAAATTCAATTTATGCAGTAAGCAGAAAATATAGCGTATCTACACCCTTTTAAGAGGTCGTTTGGTAGAATTGATTTTGTTTCTCTACAAATGAAACAGAAAGCAAAGAATGCTGTACCTAATAAAATAAAGAAACCACTTTAAGATATAAGAAAAAAATACTTGATTGACAAATTATCGACGACGCAACTTATATACGTGATAAGCACTTAAATTAATTAATAAGAACGTTTAAGTTATTGGCCGCAATCGGAACTATCAGATGCGGAACGCGATTTTTAAATTAGATCTCATCAGCACGTCTGATAGTTTCGATAAATACCTGCCCAAAAACTTTAACTTTTTTAAGTCACAACATTGATGCATATAACTAAGAACCAATATTTATTCCATATGAGCAGTTCATACCAAAAAAAAAGAAGAAAAAGTATCTCAGCGTTAGAAAATTCTAGACAGTAGCAGTATTATTATATCATTATAAAGTTAAATCAGTAGCACTCCACTGAGTTGTTACTGCAAACTTTTTTGAAATAGTATTCAGTTATTTTTCTGGTTTATGTAATAAGCCAAACCTCTCCACCGCTATGATGAGAAAACGTGACCTAGAGTGTATTTGTTGTTTATTATAAAGCAAATTTGTTTTCTCTCCTTTGTCGGATTTTTGTACGTGAACAATTTTTGCTATAAAACTGCGAATGTACAGATACCTAACAACTGTTCCTTTTCTGCATCATGTATAGCTCAATAGGTATATGTAGATTTAGCGTGTTCTACAAATACCTATATTCAATGAGATAATTGATTGACTAAAATCGAGATGTTCACGAAAGTTCACAACAAGTTTTTACTGTCTTAATTTCTTCGTCTTTTAACTCTTTCTATTTTACACTCATTAAAATCGATTCAATAGTGGTATCTTGGAAATGTAACGAATCAACGATCGATAACGCACTTTTGGATCAATGAAAAATACAAAATAATTTTGGCAAATCACTCGTGGAGTCGTGGTTACGCTATAGTACCTAAGACTTCTTAATTTTTTCGCTTTCTGCATAAGAGACTTAGTAAAACCAAACAAGGTGGAATATTTTACTGAATTTTCTTATTTAGTACTTGTTGACATAAAATAAATTTGAAAGTAATTTATCTAAGTTGTTAAAAGCTCAATAGTCTTGACGCATCACGGTCTGGGTACTTCTGGGATGTAAAATGAACGATGTGCAGTCGAAATTAAACCTTCCGGTACGAGAATTCGTTAAATTTACAAAGAGATTTTCATTTTGCCAACGATAATAGCACTTAAAAGTAATTAAGACGTTATTATATTTCCGACCGTTTTATCATTCGAGGACCTTATTAAAATTCCTCCTGAGGCTCCGTCTTAATAAGAAACTTTTTCCATCACCTTAGAATCTAACAGACGATTTAATTAAACGCCGAAACGTGCGACTTTTTAAATGCTAAATTGATGGCGTAAAATTACAAATAAGGGCGACTGTTTAAATACTAACGAACGAAATTATACATACTAAGTAGACGTATATACCCCACTCCCAATGTTCCCTATAGGTCCATCTAAAAGCACTTCACTGCATGGAAACAGATCGATGGTGAGAATTAAATGCAGACTTTAAAATTATCTATTTCTCCATACAATAAAAATTGTAAAGCTAATAAATTTTAAAATTCATAATCGTTGTATGAAATATAAATTAAAATATCATCATAGTCATACTAATGTCATCAATCCAAGAACTAGTTTTGAATCAATATTCACATGTCCCAAAAAAAATTGAAGATCCATAATAACTTCTCTGTTAAGTCTTTCACTAGCACCTACATCTACTCCTGCTTCTAGTATGTTTTTAGTTAGTTTGCTAGATATTCCTTAATGAAACTAAAAATTTCCTCATCGATAATAACTATTTACGAACAGTATTCTAATCTATTAGGTCTTCCATCACCGTCTACATCTGCTCCTGCTTCTGGTATGTCTTTAGTTAGTTTGCTGGATAGTCCTTCATGAAACTAAAAATTCCCTCATCGATAATAACTATTTACGAACAGTATTCTAATCTATTAGGTCTTCCATCACCGTCTACATCTGCTCCTGCTTCTGGTATGTCTCTGCTTAGATTGCTGGATAGTCCTTCATGAAACTAAAAAATCCCTCATCCATAATAACTATTTACGAGCAGTATTCTAACCTATTAAGTCTTCTAGTAGCACCTACATTGGCTCTCAATTGTAGTATGTCTCTAGTTAGTTTGCTGGAAAGTCCTTCATGAAACTAAACACATCCATAATATGAATTTACGAACTGTATTCTAATCTATTAGGTCTTCCGCCGGCACCAACATCGGCTCTTAGTTCTAGTATGTCTCCGGTTAGTTTGCTGGATAGTTCTTCATGAAACTAAAAAATCCCTCATCCACAATAACTATTTACGAACAATATTCTAATCTATTAAGTCTTCTACTAACACCTACATCGGCTCCCAGTTCTAATATGTCTCTAGTTAGTTTTCTGGAAAGTCCTTCATGAAACTAAAAAATCCCTCATCCACAATAACTATTTACGAACAATATTCTAATCTATTAAGTCTTCTACTAGCACCTACATCGGCTCCCAGTTCTAATATGTCTCTAGTTAGTTTTCTGGAAAGTCCTTCATGAAACTAAAAAATCCCTCATCCACAATAACTATTTACGAACAATATTCTAATCTATTAAGTCTTCTACTAGCACCTACATCGGCTCCCAGTTCTAATATGTCTCTAGTTAGTTTTCTGGAAAGTCCTTCATGAAACTAAAAAATCCCTCATCCACAATAACTATTTACGAACAATATTCTAATCTATTAAGTCTTCTACTAGCACCTACATCGGCTCCCAGTTCTAATATGTCTCTAGTTAGTTTTCTGGAAAGTCCTTCATGAAACTAAAAAATCCCTCATCCACAATAACTATTTACGAACAATATTCTAATCTATTAAGTCTTCTACTAGCACCTACATCGGCTCCCAGTTCTAATATGTCTCTAGTTAGTTTTCTGGAAAGTCCTTCATGAAACTAAAAAATCCCTCATCCACAATAACTATTTACGAACAATATTCTAATCTATTAAGTCTTCTACTAGCACCTACATCGGCTCCCAGTTCTAATATGTCTCTAGTTAGTTTGCTGGAAAGTCCTTCATGAAACTAAAAAATTCTACATCCATAATAAGAATTTACGAACTGTATTCTAATCTATTAGGTCTTCCGCCGGAACCAACATCGGCTCCTAGTTCTAGTATGTCTCCGGTTAGTTTGCTGGATAGTCCTTCATGAAACTAGAAAATCCCCTATGCATAATTACTATAAATTTGCGAACAGTAATCTAATTTACTAGGTCTTACACTATCACCTACATCTGTTCCTAGTTCTAGTTTGTTTCTAGTTAGTTTGCTGGATAGTCCTTCATGAAACTAAAAAAATCCCTCATCCATAATAACTATTTACGAGCAGTATTCTAAT